CTCGTAGTATATATATATATATATATATATATATATATATATATTGATGAATAAAGAGAAGTGGCAAATGTGGAATCACGAGCAAAGAAATGAAAAGAAATTTATTTATTTATTTATTTTAAAAGAGAGAGAGGCCTGAAAGGTGATTTTTTTTTTTTTAAGCTAAGATTCCATTTTTTTTTTTTAGAAAATGGAATGACTTTAAAAAAGAAACTTTTGTAGCAAAAGCGATTTTTTTTTTTTTGAGCTTTCAAAGTTGTTTTTTTTTTAGAAATGAGAAAACCTCAATTTTTTTTAAAAAAAATCAAGATTGCCTTTAAAATAGTTTTTTTTATTTTTTATTTTGACCACGAATCGTAAAATATTTGCTGATTTTTTTTTCTTAGGAAAGTGATCTTTTTATTTTAAAATAAAATTGGCTAAAGATACATATATGTTTTTTTTAGTGGATAAGAAAGATGGCCTCAAACACCTTTTCTTTTTTCACAAGAATAATATTTTTTTCTTAGTTCGTTTTTTTCTTTTAACAAAGAGGCCTTAAATTTTTTTTATTTTTTTTTTGTGAGGCAAAGAGGCTTGGTTGTTTTTTATTATTATGAAATGAAGATGCCTAAACAAGTGCTGATTTCTGTTTTGTTTTTCTTTTGACCAAATAATTCTTAACAAAAGATAGGAAATTTGAATGCCAGTAAAGCTAATCTAATCAAAGCAAAGCAACAACAAAATTAATCTAACCAATTCATAAGCAGCTATATATATATATAAAAACACAGGCTTTATCCATCCAATCATAAGTAACAAAGAGCATAGATTTCTTTTGGAAAGAGAAGATGAGAACGTCACAACAAAGAAAACAACACGAATAAAAATAAATAAATAAATAAATCTAGAGAAGGAGATTCAATGAAAGTGGCAATGGTGAGAGTGGTGCATACTATGAGCCCGTTCCCAAAACAAAAAAGAAACACCTTTTAAAAATCTCAAAATTTTCATTTTTTTTTTTATTTTCCTGACAAGCAGATCAACAAAATAAAATAAAATAAAATAGAATAAAATAAAAAAATGTTATGAGAAAGAAATAAAACGAGATTTTCCTATGGAAAGAGATTTTTTTTTTCTCTTTATCTTTTTCTTGGATTTTTTTTAAAAAACACGGCCATCATAAAGATTGAGGGGTTTTTTTTTTTTTGTGAACGGATTTAGCTCGAAATGCCCCATGGTGGGTGCCAAACTGTTTACAGTGCAAATCCGAGAGATCTTCAAGGGAAGATCCCTCAGATCCGTACCACAAACTAATTTTTAAAAAAAATGATAGAGAGTGGGGAAAATAAAATTTTGATCTGAGGCTAGATCTATTAAACAATGAATAGATCCACTCTCAGATTAGTGGCAGAGCCAACATCGCTCAAAAAGCATGAAATACAATATAAAAAGCAATAAAATATATTTAATTTAATAAAAATAAAAAAAATACAGAAAAGAAATGCAAAAAGGTAAAAGAAATACCAAACTGGGCCAGTTGGCCCGGGACTCCCGAGGTTTCGAGGCCTCGCCCATATCAGGACTAGCTGAGTTTATGCCGTGTCTCATCTTTGTCTCTCTCTTCAAGTTTTGACCAGGGTTTGGTTGGTTGGATGGATTTCTTGATAGTGGCCTAAAGCTAGGGTTTTCCTAAGTCTAGGTTTGGTCACGATTTTCTCTCTGATAACTACTAAAACTATGATAACTACTAAAACTATGAGAGTGAAATGGATAACTACTAAAAACTATGAGATTTGCTAGGTGTGGATCATAGGATGGGGACATACATTATGGTGGTTTATGGTTTAAGGGTCTACTGAAATAGTGTGGTCATATGGGTTCAAGAAAATTATAGAATTTGCCAGTTTTTAAAATGGGGTATCTACAAGTAGACGTAACCTTGGGTGGAAGGTGAGTGGTGCATTGGTAATTATTTCAGAGACTTTGTGATTTGTCTTCAAGTAGGAAATTGTTACATGTGTGAAAACAAATTACACATGAGGGAATTTTATTTAACATTTCTCTCTTTTATTTTGGCCTATTGGAAATCCAATGGTTATGGTGTTGTAGGAGCTTTACTCTTTTAAAGGGACTAAAACCTTGTTGTTTAGTGAGAGAAAGAGTGAAAAAAAGATAGAGAGATTGGGCTGCAATTGGGTTTGCTCTTGAGGGGTTAGTATGCTCTGTTTTAGAAAGAGAAAGTGAGCAAGAGGCTAGAACTCCATTGTGAGTTTGTTGTATACCCTGTTTTAGTGATAGAAAGTGTTAAAGAGAACCGATTCTATGGTATTCTTGGTGCTCGTTTTTGGGCTTTGTTTATAGTCAGAAAGGGCTGCTGGAAATTGATATTTTGAACTTGATTTCACATTGTAATCTTCCCAAATCAGTGTGTAAAGTCTTGCGCCATTCTCCCGTGGATGTAGGTCACGATTTGTGACCAAACCACGTTAAGTCTTTGTGCTATGTGGATTAAATGTTGCTGAATTTTTCATTCCATGTTCTTGCTTTGATATTATGTAGTTTCTATTGTTTGTTTATATTGATATGAATGCACAATAGCTGTGAATGTTATAAACCCTTGCTGATTTTTCACCAATTGATCCCAACACTTAATATGATCTGAGCTCAGGATTTGTTATAACAAGAGTTTGCAGCAGTTACGCTGCTCAAAACCCTAACTGAGGTGTGGGGTTTTTAATGCAAGTTTTTTTCAGCCCTTCATGCTTCACCAAAAGGCAAGAACAAACTTCCTCTAGGTATTCCTGGATGTAGTCATTCTGTTGAAATTATAGCCAGTGGTTTTTTGTCTCGTAAATTGACTGATTTACCATGGAGCCATCCAATGGCTGCAGTTTCTTGAAAGGGAGAAATACATAGGATAGAGACAAAAGAGAGGAGAGAGAGAGACGAGATTAGATTTCTGAGGGTAAAAATAAAGCAATCTGATGTTTCAATTATCGGACTGAGGATTAATTTAGAAAAAAAATAAAAAAAATTATGGATATGTCCTTCTGATTCATAATGACCTATTTTGAGGCCATACTATTATTTTAATGGTAAAAAAAACTGAATCCATAGGTAAATTTCCCAAAAATTAAAAGCCAGGCCAAAAAAAGAATGGTCTTGAAAGCACGGCCAGTACAAAGAAGCAGAGGCAAACACGTTGGGAGCATGATCATTGCATGAGAGAGGCGTGTTTCTCCTTTGTCCATGCACCCACCCAACCCTCTCCACAATATCCCTCTCTCTCCCCTCCCTTCTTTCATCTCAAACCACATGCATGGCTCACTCTCTCTATCGCTCCATGGCTTCTCTCCAACTAAGAGGATGACTCTGCCGAACAAATTTCCATGGTCTCTCTCCCCCAAGAAGATAACTTCCCGGAACACAAGGGTTTTACGGGCATGAAACCTCCATTTATTCTTGCTGAAAATTTGGAATCCCAATGGTAACCAATGCTGGAAAAGGGTAGATGGGACTCTGATTGGACTTGGTCAAGTCCAGATACACTACAGTGGTAATTGTGGTTTTCAGCAACCATGGGCTTTGAATACTTAAAAAACGTAATAATTCAAGATGAGCAAAGAGGGCAAGGAAACTAAGATCGATTGAGGGAAGTTGGCCATACTTTATGAAGACCTTGCTTGCATCGTTATTATTCCAATATCTAAGTAGCGTGAGTGATTTTCATAAAGGTAGTCTGAGTTATTTTGACAACATCCTCGGATCACGGGGAATTAAACAGGAGCCCAAACAATGTGGGTATCAGGTAAGAAATGGCAAGCATAATTGTGTTGATCTGCCTTTTTGCCTGCGGGGAGGACTTGAAACCATGTTGAAAATGGTTCCCAATTCTTAGTGTTAGGATGGCACCCTGCAATCGCGTCCACTGTGCTTCCATGTTCGCCTTCCAACTTCACCTTGTAGATTTTTCCTTCTCCGATATAGTGGCAATAGTACACAGCATAAGGATAAAGCATGTTATGGCACGCTGTGGAGCTTGCCTTAGCAGGCACTCTCTGCACTTTCGTTGTAGTATAAGCTTGGAGCACAGAATCCTTGTAGATGCCAGTGCAGAGTACCATAATGTTATGGTCCTGAGCAGAGGGGGTAGCGTAATCTATCATGGCCTCTAAAGATGTGAGGCATTTCTCTCCGGCTTCCAATGATTCGCACCATTATAGAGTAACACCAACTTATGCAGCCTCACTAGAAGTGGGAGGAAACGAGAAGCGTTGTAAGATGCGTGGTAGCTCAGCAGAGGAGAAAGGTATGGCATCTGCATCCTCCCGAGAAAGGAAAGGAGAGGCACAACTGAATTCCGACTTGCGAAAGTCGAGAATTTTGTTCATTCCTAATTTGAGGTCCTTTTCTAAGAAGGGGGTGGTTTCTCTTGGATCGCGATTCTCTTTAGAAAAGTCGAAGTAGGGGAACCGGGGATCGCGATTACTCAAACCCATACGCAGCAATCCTGATGGCACTGGGCGAAAGCGGGCGCGAATAGCATCAGGCATTGGAGTGTTAAGGAGTGCCTGGGCCCAGTACCTCTCTGGTGTCGCCGCAACATGGTAATGGCTAACCCTTTCCTGCATGCAAAATTTAACAAGAAGTGAGTAAAGATTAGTACTTCCGCTAGCGGAAAAAACTTTCCACATGTGAAGGATTATACTTGTTTGTTTTTTTAGGTAGATAGATTATTACTGTTGAGAAGTGAAAAACATTCTAGGTAAATGTTTCTATACTTCCCCTACAGCATAGAAAATATATGCTTCCCCTACCGTCCAGCCGTCCAATTTTGATCAAGAGAGTCACTCACTGTTTGATCTTAGATCCGACGTCTCAAAATCTTTTATTTTAGTTTTTTTTATATAAATTGTATGAATATGAAATTTAGTACGTGTCATTTTCTCATTGGGGAACACCTATAAAAAATGTTAAAAATAATTTTTTGATTAAATCTAATGACCAAAATACCTCTTAAAGCTTTCAAGGGTATTTTGGTTATTTTAGTTTATTGAAAATATTTTTTTATATTTTTCGCTAGTGCGAGTTTAATAGATGATTGGATGTCCAAAATTTGGTGTCAAAATAGTTTATAGAAAACAAATTAAAAATAAAATAGTGTAGAGATGTGACATTGTGATTGGGGCAATCTTAACCCTCCATTCAGAATCCACAGTTGGATAAGGAGAAGTATATGAGTTTTAGACTGAAGGGAAAGCATAAAAGGCTTGGCCAACATTCTGTATGCATAAAGTGTACGGCATAGCACAGACAGAGCCCTTGTTCAACTCAAAAGCTCCCGATTTTTGTGATAATTAGAGGGACAACAATTATGATGCTTGATAATTAATGGGAGAAATATTATTGACGCAAATGTTTTGCAAATGCCTTAGGTTACTTTTGGAAACCATAAAAATACTTTTATACAAAAAATTCCTTCATTTGACAAAGCATAGAAGTTTTTGCATATCATATTAATTAGCGGCTAATTGTGTGAAACAACGCTTACATTCAATCTCATGAAATAGTTCTTTCGTGTAAAAATACTTCGAGGGAAGCGTTTATATTTCTATCACATATGCCCTTGAAGAGAGCAATGGGAGTAGAAATCCATTCATCACACAACTTACGAAACCTTACAGCATATAAAAGGTTTTCCAATTAACATTATTGAATACAAGATTGCCCATTGTGTATGCTACACAACATGCTTATTTTCAAAGGATTTTGTGAATGCTGAGACCACATACCAGAAAGAGAAGTGGGGCAAATGGTAGATGGAGCCTCCCCATGATTATACAAAAGCAAAGAGGATGGTGGTTTTGTATTGTGGTGGAGTGAGGAATTCCATTATCAGGAGGGGTACATTAAACATAGGCAATGTGGCATAGAGAGAGAAAGCGTTTTCAGTGCATGTTGGACATGCGGCCATTGACCTCTCGTTCTCTAACGTGGTGAATCCAATGGTTGGTACGAGAACTGCTTTTCAAGTATGCAAATAAGCCATGATCCAACGATCATTAAAAGGAGTGGTGCATGGGGATCTTCGCTAACCAATGAAACGACGACTTCTCTCTTCAATATTTTGAAGTTGGTGAGTGTAGTAAATTTTGGATGCTACATTACAAATAATGTAGTAAAAAACTTTATGTTGATTCATAGGAATAAGCACAAAGTAAATGATTTCAGTGAAAAATAGGTTAATGGAATGGGATCAATGAAGCTTAGTTATTAGATGTGAAACTGGACGGCTTGGATTGTGTAACAAAATTTAAGAAATTTTATTTTGGACTTTGTATCTAGTTATACATTCAGCCACCCAATTCCACTTCTAGCGGTTAACAATATTTTTGACCACGTTATTCTAAAAGAAGGGTTGGAAATGTGGACTCAGAATGACTACTCCGCCTATGCCCCAACCGAGTACTAGTCTAGTCTGAGTAACTCGGCCCAAGTAGGGACGAGTAGTGTACCGTCCGAAAATTATTAAAAGATAAAAAACTACAAAAATATAAAAAATAGGAAAAATATATTTAAATAAAATGTAACAAAATAAACTAATTTTCGTTTAAAAAACAACAAAAATAGATTTTAAAAAATGAGTTTATGATCGGGGGCATTTTTTGAAATTTTATAAAAAATTTGGAAAAATGTAAAAATCGGCATTCATGGCCAAAATACTTTCATATCCTTTCAAAATGATAGAAACTATAAATAAACGTAGAAAAAAAAGATTTCTTATTTTTTTAGTATTTCTTACAGAAAAAAGCTTATATAAAGTTGCAACTTTAAAATGTACAATCAATGTTGAAAACCCTTCTAATTGATCACATCGGGATCGGGATGTATAAATATGGAAAAAAAAAGATTTTGAGTCCCAAAAATAGTGCATCTTGCAAGACATTATCTACACCATCCATTTTCTAGATTTTCTTATGTTTATAAATCTACTTGATTTTAATCATTTTTTAAAAAAAATTAATTAGATACGAAAATAGATTTTCACATAATCCTAAGAATTTATTCACCAAAATTATATATTGTGATAAAATTTGGAAGTGCACCTTAATTGGGTTGTTTAAGGTTGCAACCTTCAAAAAATCATTCATTTTTTTTTATATATTTTTCTAGCTTGTTTTTAAAATCCCCTAGTTAGACCTCCAACTTGGGACAACTCCGGCTCAGAAAGGGCCCGAGCCTGAATGACTCGGTTGAGTAGAGACTACTCAGCCGATTTTTCCACTAAATTTCTATTGGAATTGAAATACCTAGAATATTATTAGTCATCCATTTTAAGTTTATTTATTTCAATTTGACGTGGAGAAGTCTTATTTTGTAGTATCTAGGATTTTATTTATTAAATGCCGTTTCCTTGCTCATATGGAATCTAATACATGCTTTTCTTTGGCTTATTTTTAGATTGAATAAACTTTGACTGTGTGCAGTTTTTCAACTATTATACGGTAGTCTAGTTTTGTCATGTCAAAATCTATTGAAAACTACTTCAAATATTTTCATAAATGATAATGCCGTCTGCCAGTACAATAAAATAAAATAATATTTATTTCCATTTTAATGTCAAATAACTTAGAGGATTTTTAAAAAAAAAATTTACAATAATACCATTCATCTTTTATAGATATACATAGACCCATGATTGTTGTATGTTAACTCAGGAGGCGGGAAATTTTATATTGACTAGTGTCAATATCCAAAAGAAATTTGTTTAAACTTTGCATTATACTTAGGTTGTCAGATTTCATATGTGAAGGCCATAACTAATTTTGAGCTCTTTGTGCTAAAGTAAATTGTCTTATAGTACACAATCCTGTTTTCTCAAGCTGAACGGTTTTTGTTACACATCCGAACTAAGGCGTTTTATTCCTCTTTAAGATGAATTACCGAGAGAGAGATGCTCCTTTGAAATATGCACTTGGTTTTTAAAAAAAAAAAAACCTAAACAAGAAAAAACAAATCAAATGAGCCAAGTTCACCCTTTTGGGTTTTATTTCATCTATAGTGATGTCGTTCGTAGGACAACTACATATGGTATGTTAATAACATTTGATTTCAATTTTTGCAAGCAAAAAATCTCTATCTAATCAATTTTACTAATTTGCAATGGATAAATGAAGAAAAGCGAATGGGTATTATATTGCAAGCACACCACACTTTGTTATTAAGACAACTTCTTCTTTGATGTTATTGAGAGATCTTAGTTTAGTTCACAAAACTTGTGGCTCTTGTTATTTCTCAATTCATTTTAGAATGTCGTTTGTTGTCCAAAATGCGTTAGCGTGGAAACATGGAAATCATGTCCCCTTTTTCTTTCTTTCTTTCTTCTTCTTTTTTTATTTATTTATTTACTTTTTTTTATTATTATTATTATTATTTTTTCACGATTCTAAATTTCATAAAAAGTGCTGTTATAACTAGTTATGGGGTAAGTGGTCTTGTTGCCTAGATTGTGATTAATCTCACACGAACACTTTACAAAGCTACTCTTTCGTAAAAGCACTATGGACTACATCAAATTTTCATTTTCAAGCTTATAATTGGCTTTCTATGATGAATATAACCTCGTACTATGTTTTCAACTTAGATGAGGATGAAGTCCATATTTTATACATGTTGTGATGCCTATTTGTGACGTTTTTATTTAGGGATTTTATACCATTATTCTTTCTTATAAGGAGGTCACAATCGCTAGTAGCCATTAGATGTCAAATTAAATGATTTGGATTGAGACATAAAGTTCGAGGAAATGTTTTTTCACCTTGGAGTCTAATCAATAACACACTTCCAACTATCAAATTTTAAATCTGCAGACAATACTTAGTGGGACATCTTTATGTTACAAGTAAATGGTCCCTTTGTATACTTTTCATGCTACTAAAATCTAGCTTGTGAAACCAATGTGATAATGCATTTCGTATGCAAGCAATTATGTTTGCACTCGTTTTGGGTTTTGACCTAGGGCCTTTGATTTTTACTCCAACAAGTAGTATATTATCATGCCAAAAGATTTTATACTCCCGTTAGAGATTGTCCATTTCTTCCTTGGGTAAACTCCAAAAAGGGA